AATCCAGTGTTCATGTTTTAGTATGTCTACAAAATGGAGCAAGACAAATAATGCACAGGTTTTATAAAACAGCTAAGAACAGGTTAGACTGCAGATAGGTGAACATAAACAGAGCTATCTGCTGTAAACAAATGTTTCCTTCTAGGATTGTAATCTAAAAGATTTGTATCCAGTGACTCAAAGAGTCACTATTTAGATTAAAATCACACAGATGCAAATCCCAGACACCCAATTCAACCATAAAATACAGTTACACTGGGGTATCCAAAAGTTATGAAGTAGCCTGCTGTCCACTGTGTGTGGGTAACACTGGCAACAACTTAAGTCCTCATGCCAATAAAGCAAGTCATTCTTCTTGTTAACTGAATGCAGAATTGTCTCTTTAAGGCAACCTGACTTATTAATGCCTAAATGCCAAACAGACGTGGTAAATAACTTTAGATAAAATGGTTTAAGTTAGTACTGCTTAATTTTTTTTTAAATCATTAATGCCTATATATCCTTAATTCGCTCAACATGCATAGATGTTAAAAATGGATAATGACATCAAAGATAAAAAATTTATCTGAAAATATTATATTCCTAACACATTTTGGAGTGATGGTTCGTTTTAGTAACAAAAGCACAAAAATTTGATTATAATAATGCATAGTATGAGATATACAGTAACATTTCACAAATATAAAATATTTGAGGATGCAAATAATTGGACAATAAAATATCAGTTGACCTATCAAAACAAATATATTTATCTTTATGAAAGTTATAATTAAAACTAAATTTAAACAAATATTTAGCAATCAGAAAACCAGATAAATGTTTACAAATGCATGGTTAACAAAACAAAAAAAATTAAAACATAAAAATACACGTTCTATCTGTCAAAATGCTCACTTACTTAACATTTTAAGCAATATTTATGTTCATGTTAAATATTTTAATAGATCTGCTGTTTTTATGATACTTAAAATAATTAATGTACAGATATATGTAGCTCAATCATATATCCTACAAAAGATAGAAATCTTACTTTTGGCTTCTACATTCACATAAAAGATTTTCTTCTTTCTGACAGATTAGTTTTGGTCATTTGTAGAGCTTTCACACAAGATAATGTTGAAGCTTCTGGTATTCCCTTAAGCCAGGATCTTTGGGTCAGCAGGAAAATGTCTAGCTACCAAGCTACTAAGCTTCCTAAAACATTATTTAAATGTATTTTGTCACCAGTATGAACTAGTGACAGGGAAACATTCATGGAAACTTCATGGAAACATTAATTCTTAGCTTCCTTTTCACTGTCACCCTTTACGCTATAAGTCTCTAATAGACATTCAACGAAACAATCATTGCACTTCAGCATTGCATCTTTAATTAAAAAAAAATTAAAATATCTTTTGCCCTGGAAAGTTTGAGCATATCACCTTCTACTTATAATAAGTTAAAAATTCCACTTTTTACGAACACAAGTGACACATTTTACTTAAACTTTTGAAAAAGATAAAATATCCAATGAATGTTTTTGGTGCAAGCTTTACAATGCACAGAGAAATATTGCAATATAAATTGGATGTGAGATGAACAATTATTTGCAAGCAGCGTGAGGAAAACTCAGGAACAAGTTTTGTTGCAATATTTATGGCTGCAGTTTCTAGTTATTCACAGCCAAAATCTTCAAAAGGCTGCATGTAAAAGTATTTCCATTGCAGATACTGCAACCGAAATGAGGACTATTAAAGTTGTTCATATTTTAAATCCTGATATGTGCTGTGGAATAACCAGTTTCCTTACTCATATCTTTCTTTCCAAAACAATTTCCACAAAATTCTTACCCATGCCAGGTACCCATGCAAAAGAGGCTGAATCAACTACAAAGCCACACTGGTCAGAATAAAACATCCTGCCTCTGCTGACGACTAAACTTGGATCCTTTTGCTGACAAGCCCAATCACTAGCCATTTTACCAATGTAATCCCTATATGAGTTCTGGGGCTCTATTGTGGGGAAAACAACAATAGAGTAACTGCCTTGCCAACAAGCATGTTATGGAGTCAACCAATTCAGGGCTTACTTCGAAATTAGAATGCATCTACCCGTGCGGCAAGGAACAACCAACTGCACACAAATAAGCCAGGAAAATGGATTTACAGGCAAAACGTGGGCCATAGCAGAAAACCAAAGTCCAGATGGATCAACAACCAGGACTTTCCATCAGAGCTTACAGACGGAGAAGAAAGAAGAAGAAGAAAAAGACACCATTGTAAGGCTACACAAAAATTAAGAGTAAATGAAAAGGAACTGTTTTGTACCAGTGCCCTATAGGCATGTTGGACTAGAATCATAATTATAGACCATCTAGCACTTGTTAGTGATGGGGACTACATCATACCACTACCTTTGTGTCCGAAGACCTTGCTCAATATCCATTTTAGACTGGACTGACCTGGAAGTCAAGGTCAGTTTTGAAAAACATAAGATCAAGGTTCAGAGGACATCTCTTCATGTTTTGCATCTAATACTAATAACAAAATAACTGTCACTACCTTCAGTTTTAAACATTTCAAAACTAAATCATCACAAGTTACTAAAACCTAACCATGTCATGATATAACCTGACTGGCTTAATTCTTTCCCTTTGTTCCCTGTGTTACTATTGCTAGAAACGTGCCCAAACAAAAATTATTTACAAATTTAAAGTGACATTTCATATTCTCAGCACTCAATAATTATAAATTAAACAAAGAAACACCCTTTCTCTTTCTCTCTCTTTCTGTGTCTCTTACACACTCTATTATGTACAGTTTAAAAGACAGAATGACATAAGAAGAATATACATATATATTTAAACATATCAAGATCAAGATATGAAACAGAGTATGAATATGTTTCAATGGTCTCTATCAGAATCAAGACATGAATTTAAATGGCATCAGTCACGATCAAGGTAAGCGTCTTTAGCTTAGGTGGTATGAACATGCTTTGTGATTCCAGAATACCCAGTTCAATTCCAGCTGTGAGTGATTTGGTAACTGACCACTTTGCATGAATTTTGACAATGGTATAGAGTGCTGACCATTCAGATAGCAATCACAAACTACTGAATACATAACTGTCTAGTAAAATAAACAGTCAATGAATGCTTGAACTAACTTTTCATTTAAAAACCATGTATCAAGATATAAAGACACAACATAAATATTTTATTGGACTGCCAATATTCCTCCTGGTGAGTGGTAGTCACATCCTAATGGAAAATCCAAGATCTTGTTTGGTTCCCATTACTTTATCTAACTCAAGTATGGCTCCATGAATACCGCTTGTGTACAGCAGAGGCAACACCATGGCCAACAGTCTTGGCTGACTCAAGGATCACTGACATGCTCTTACTTTTCTCTTATAATAATGTGACAGAAAGTAATAACTGCCTTTTTCTGATATCCATACAGTGTTCCTGATAACCCTATAATGCTTGATAAGAAATGTATTCAGGGCATGTGCTCCCTAAAGTTTACAATTCAACTTATGGAAGCAGTTTTGCAGTTGAAATTTGACATGTTTTTAACTAAGACATTCCATCTCACATGTAGAAGCTTTGGACATAAACTGTTATACCAGCTTCAGTGACTATACATTTACAAGCAGAGAATACAAATGACACTACAATTATTACATAAGTGCTCTCAGACTTGGTTTCTAAACGTAGGAAAATAAACTTTGAGGTTAAGAACATAAAGCTCTAATGCTGAAAACTCAGGTTCGAGTCCTCGGTAATGTTGGGGCTTTTTGTCTGTTGGGGGCATCGTGGGGATCATTGCCGGAGCTATGGAGTTTGTGCTCTGTGCAGTGCTTTCGGCAGGCAGCTAGCCATTCTGTGGAGAGAGACTGAGCTATATGGGATAAAACCCAGTGCAATAATTTTGATCTTGACTTTACTTTAACTTTGTCGATCGGGGGCAAAAATAAAGTTGCAACATGAAAAGTCCATGATGACAGCACAAGCCATGAATTCCTAAATCCTCAGGCTAAAATACCCCTTTTCATACACCACGATAGTAGTAAATAGATGCAGTTATGGTAGTTTTTGGCAGTATCTGACAGGGCTTACTCTCCTCAGAGTGGCTAGCTGCCTGCCAAAAGCATCACATCTGTAGCTCCGGCAACAATCCCAAGGGATCTCTGTAAAAACTGCACTCAAGAACTGAACAATGCCTCTTTGAAACAAACACAAGTCTTTCTGAGTAGGAGTCAAATGGCTTGACCACTATGCCATTGAGACTACTAACAAAATATACTTTTCTGAACTTCTTGTGACCCCATCAGACTGTTACACTAACCAACTCTGCCTTAATTATGACTTTAAATTATAGTGTCATTTAATATGTTCAGAGTCAAACATTTATTATTTAAAGTAACATATTATTAGATAAGGATTAGATAATATAATATCATTTGGTCCTGAAAGAGTTAAAACACATTAAAAAGTACAAGACCAACAGTTGAAAGTGTTATCAACATTTTCAGAAGGGAAATAAATTATGCTCTAATTTCAACCATTTTGAGCCAGTAGCTCTCATGACAAACTCAATTCAATCTGTAGTCTCCCTGTAAACAAACTTATAAACCAAACCCTTTCCCTGTTTCAGTAGTCAGCCTATTGATTTATTTAAAGTGAAGAGCTTTGGGAAGGCTTTAAGCAATTCAATTTACTGAAGTCTACGAAGAATAAATTTTTTTGGTTTCAAAAAATAACAGTGCCCTTTAAAAACCCTTGCTACAGAAAAGAGAAACAGCACAAATTAATTTATCTTCAGTTTACAGTTTATCTGAATAAAATACATGCTCATACATGGTGCCTTTGCCTGTCAGCCATGACTCCTCAGGTCCTACAGTATAGAGGCTAAAAACAGCTGACTTATAAATATCCAGAAGAAAAACCCGCAGAGAATTAAAAGACATTCATACAAAATAAAGAGAAACTAGTTAAGTGTTAAAAGGTCTGTATTTTATAACTGCAGAATAACTGCCAGCAAAAGCAAGATCATTGCACTCATATTTAAAGTCAAGGTCACAGAACTGCCATTGTCACCATCACCAACACTTGAAGGGAACTCTTTTGGAATGTCCTTTCCTGCAATATAAAAATAGGAACATTACAATTCCTAAGTATTTTGTTTCAGAGGTAAAGAAAAATAGATAAAAGTAGCCAAAATTAATTTTTAAAGCTATACTTGTCATGTGTGACTCTGAGCTGCGATTCCAAACACAGGAACATAGTGTAGCGTTTTGGCACTAGGTTCACTCTCAGAATAGGGCTGGACATTTTTATAAAAACAATCAAATGATAGCAAACCTTGCAAGTGCAAGTTGCACACTTAAAAATAAAATATATAGTAGTAACAAAGTTGTTGAAACAAAACAAAAAAAAGTTATAAAACCTAACAAAGTTGTTGGAGCAACAACAACAACAACAAAAAGTTACAAAGCCCAACAAAGTTGTTGAAAACAATAAAACTAGCCCACAGGTCTAAATCATTGATTTCTGAGTTTGTAATGCAGTAATAGACCATTTGGATGGCAGAAGCATATCAGGTTAGAGAAAATAAAATTATTATAAACCACTTGGGTCTCAATGAGTGAGGTGGTCAACATCATGTAATGGCCTTTACTTCCAAAGACTATTCCTGTTGCCAATTGGATGCTTAGAGCAAGCACCTAGCCAGTGTGTTACCATGACACCCAATCTTTGCATTTGAGATGTGTTTAAATATGGGTGTGGCTCCATTTTTAGTTGCAGGTTCAAATCCGCACCAAGCCGGAATAAAAAAATAAAAAAAAAAACATGACACTGACTCCCAGGTCAACCCAGCATAAAAAAATGGGTATCCAGTAAAGTTTCCAGAACTAAAGGGCTCTAAAATAACCAATATAAACAAACAAAAAAACTGTGTCTCTGTAGGTAGGTAGGTAGGTAGGTAGGTAGGTAGGTAGTTTTACCCCACCAGGACATCACACAAGCATTAAACATACGGTGACGCAAAATGCCACCATACGGATGGAGATCACCTGTGGAGAGGTCCTAGAAACCCTTTTCAGCCGTTAATCCATATCTATGGCCTAGGCCATATTTATGGCCTGGCTATATTCAGGGCCCCTGGCAGAAGCCAGGGTGGGGATTCAAAAAACAGAAAATTGCATCCCACATGGGGACGACCTATGACATCGTGTAAAGCAAAGTTTATATTGGGGCTGAACAAATAAATGCTCATTACAGGCTGTGTCTTGGTAGTTATGATTGGAATTAAAATGTTAGATTTGTATTGCAAGAACTGTTTAGAAACAACACATCCACAGACAAAGAAACCACTGACCTTCGTCTGGTTTCTCCTTTGTCTTCTGATCTGCTACTTCTTCAGAACCGTGGGCATCTTTCTGGTTGTCACCATTGTCATAAGGCGGGTTTGTTGGTTCGGGCTTTGGAATACAATCTTCATACATATATTTCTCTGGACATTCCTCTTTGGCGGTTGTTATGTTTTTCCCTGTTAGTATAAAGTGAAACAACTTCAGGTAAGATTTTACAAAATTCATTATTTATATCGTTGATCTTGTTGGCGAAAAGCTACTTCTACTGCAAACTCAGATAAAAGTTTAAAGTTGCGAGGAGTGACTTCTTTGCCGTGGATTGTTATTCCCAATGGCTCAGACCCTCTCCGCAAAACGGTTAGTCCAAAGCTTGAGCTCAGCAGCTGCGATGACAATTCCTCGGGATTTCCATACAAATTGCAGTCATGAACCAGTGTAAAGCTTTAAAGTCCTTTACATTTTGTTTCTCGGGTAATCAGAAAGCTACTGGCACCATTAGTATCGGAACTCTTCACTGGCTGCTGAAGATGGGGGACAGAGCGCTTATGGGAATGTCCCGAGTGCTGTCAGTTCTTGAATCAAATCCAATCTCGGGCCCCACGTTTTCTTCTCATTCCACTGGCAAGACATCAGCGTGGCTGTTTCTGGATACTCGGTTCAGTGATTTTGCGTATTCGTGTGGTTTTGCTTGACTTGTATGTGTTGATGATGAAGGCTCTATAGCCGTAACATTCACGTTTTGTTTGTGTTTGTTATATTGTGAAGCTCGCTGATATTCTTTTCCTTCGGTTTTATATCTTTCTATTCCATTTTAAATGACACCAGGCAATCCTACAAACCTCTAAAATATATACGCCTTTGAAATATATGGATAATGGAAGTTTACTTTTTCATTTTATAAAAAAAAATTAAAAAAACATTATCGTGTTTGCAAAATCACAGAAATGATATTATCCTCTGAAAGGAATTAAGCTACATCTTCAAACATTTTCCATCCTTTATTTCACAAATGCCAAATCATTAATTATGTCAAAGTGAAATCAAGTGGTTCCCCTAAGAGAAGATGGACTGATGGCATTGAAGAGCTTCTACATAGATACGGAATGAAAATAGCTGCCCACCAGGCAATTGGTCGCAAACTGTTCCTCCCCCAACCCACCCTCTAACGCTTAACGGCAGAAGTGAAAATTGCTGATGATGATAGTGAATCGATATTTACAGAAATAGAGCAAGCAAAGCAAGCACAACAAATTCAACATGCATTAAGGCGTCAAAACCGGTCCAGTAGTTTTTCTATAAATGCATGTTCAGATTTATGTCAGAGAAAACACGCACACACACACGCACGCACGCACGCACACACACACACACACACACACACACATATATATATATTTATATATATATATATATATATATATATATATACACACAGATAAATTTGAGAGTCGCCGTGGCGTAGCGGCTAAACGCTTGCGTGCAGATCGTAAAGTTGGAGTTGGCTTCCTGGCGGAGCCGGACATTTTTTCAAAAATGACCCAGCCTTGAGTGGGTACTGGGTGCAGTCTCGGAAAGCAAAGGTGGCCGGCGTGATGCTGACCACACCACCCATCTTGTGCCGATTGGTCTATCAAACATTTGCAAATTTGGTCTAGCCCTATAAGTATAAGGGCGTCGAAAAGAAACCTTCACTTTTGTTTTTTAAATGTATAAATTCATATAATATATACAATATTTGTTTTTACATTCTATGAAAGCGGAACTATATCTGAATTTTCTTCTCGTGTCGGATTTGGCCGATGTCGTCTGGAGTGATTCTTTGTTATCTGTTGTGTTTTCAGATACCCTCACAGCATTCAAATAATAGAGAGGGGAAATTAACTCAACACTGCCATAAGCGCTCCGTTCCCATCTTCAGCAGCAAGAGCAGAATTCCAATTCCGATAGTAACAGTTGGAGAACTTAAAAACATGGAACGAAAACAAGTATCCGAGGAAATTGATGAACAGTCAAATAGATTCAGAAAAGGGAGGAAAATACAAGAAATGTCTGGATGAATGTCACTGGTGTCGACAGTTAGAAAAAAAAAAAAAAAGGCGCTATATTAGGCACATCCCGAGAAGAAGATCAAATCGAGAGGGTTGACTTTCTTGCACCGGGTTCTACCCCATATGGCTTGCCCGTCCCACAAAGCACGAATCCTGTTGCTTCAGCGACGATCCCTGTAGATCTTCGTAAAAACGACTCCCGTGAACTGAATGAGGCAGCTGTAAAACAAACCCACGAACTTCAGAGCGCGAGGCAAACGGCTTGACCACTTCGCCACAGAGCCCCCCCCCCCCCCCCTCCCCCATCCCGAACAAAACTAACAAAACAGACGTTGACCTCAGACTTAATTGAACTGATGAAATGAGGATGTCGAAGGAAAACCCTAAAACGAGAGTTGACAAGGGAGACTAAAGGTTCTGCACCGGATTTGATTCATTCCATCGAAAAGACTACAATATATCATGGAAATGGAGAATAGATTGAGATCACTGTTTGATGTATGAAAAGCACAACACGGTGAACAATGAATGAAAATACAGACAGTTATTGACTGGATACATACCAATTGGATACTCGACTGAAACTTCACACAGGACCATGACCTCGTCCAGGCACTGTGACTCCCCCGACTCATGACAAAACTGCTGCACGTACTGGCCATGGTCGACTTCTGTCAGATACACCAGGTACTTGGGGCCCTCGGTGAGGCTGGAGTTCACACAGTTATCTGGGTTTTCACCTGGGGGGTAAACCAGACATACAGGGGATTATTTTTAGTGATACAGTCGTATCAGATAGCTGATGTCCCTATTTGTGTTCCGGGCCCCATTGTGGGGGAAAACAAGAATAGACCACACCGCTTCCCCAGCAAGCATGTCGGAGGAGTCGACTGACTGGGAAGGGGGAGGGGAGGGGGCTTTCTTCGAAGTAAGTCGGAGTGCATCTGCCAGAGCGACAAGGAAGGAAAACTCCACTGCACACACATAAGCCAGTGGATGTACACGCCAAACTCAGGCCCTGGCGCAAAGTGAAATTCCAAACAGATGACCAGGACTTTCCGCTGGAGCTTACAGCCGTTGAACAAAGAAGAAGAAGAAGGAAGCGGAAGGAGGAGGAAGAAAAAGGAAGAAGAAAGAAAAACGAAAAAAAAAAGAAAAAGGAAGAAAGAATAAGGAAGAAAGAAAAAGAAGATACATAAACTGATAAAGAAGAAAGAAGAAGAAGAAGAATGGAGAAGAAAGAAGAAGAAGGAATATGTAAGAAGAAGAAAAATGAAAGAAGAAAAAGAAAGAAGGAAGAAGAAGAAGAAGAAGAAGAAGAAGAAGAAGAAGAAGAAGAAGAAGAAGAAGAAGAAGAAGAAGAAGAAGAAGAAGAAGAAGAAGAAGAAGAAGAAAGAAGAAGAAGAAGAAGAAGAAGAAGAAGAAGAAGAAGAAGAAGAAGAAGAAGAAGAAGAAGAAGAAGAAGAAGAAGAAGAAGAAGAAGAAGAAGAAGAAGAAGAAGAAGAAGAAGAAGAAGAAGAAGAGAAGAAGAAGAAGAAAAAAAGAAAGAAGAAGAAGAAGAAGAAGAAGAAGAAGAAGAAGAAGAAGAAGAAGAAGAAGAAGAAGAAGAAGAAGAAGAAGAAGCAGAAGAATAAAACGGACCAAATAAAAGCCGAATTTCAGAAAATAAATGGAAGAAGGAAGAAGAAGAAAGGAAAAGAAGGGAGAAAGAGAGAAAGGAAAAGAAAGAGAAGAGCAAGAGAAGAAGAAGCGGAAAGAGAAAGAAGATTTTATGGAATAATCTATGAGATAATTAAAGTAATCTTTACGGCACTCCGGATACGTCGATAGGTGCTCAGCTTACCCCCATCAAGATACACATCAGCGCCCCACACTAACAGTTCATGTTCTATGTTGGTTGACACGATTTCTCATACGTCTTTCTTGTCTCTGTTGTTTAATCGCGTCAATCTTCGAATTCTCGCACTCTTAGCAGTTATGTAGACGCAATGCCCTCAAAATCACCCTTTGCTCCTCTTTCACCAAATGAGATTAACAATGTTGAGGAAGATTCACAGGTCGGAAATCTAAAACCATGTCAGTGTCAATTTCTGGGTGCTAGTCATGTTCCAGAACTGCAGTTTTGCGTGCACAACCATTTTACAGATCATGTTTGTTTGTATGCAGACTGTTGGTTCCTCGCCTCTCAGGCAAATAGCCTCCAACTTCGAAGGAAACTTCCCGAACGAGTTGCTTCTTATGACATGCTTGTTAGGTAGACAGGGGCTCTAATCCCCCCCCCCCTCCCGCCTCCGATGGTCCTGGAACCCGCACTGTAACAACACAGGTTTTAGGGCCTAGAGCAGATAACCTTATTGCTTTATAAATTATAAGCCATTAAATATATGTCTGTCTATCTTCTTATACCCCACCGGGACATCACACAAGCGACAAATACCCGAAGACACAAAGTGCCACCATGTAGATGAGGATCACCCGTGGAGAGGTCACAGAAACCGCGTACCATATTTATGGCCGGGCTATATCGCGGCCCCTGGCAAGAGCCAGAGTAGAGCTTTTAAATAGCGAAATTAAATATACTCCCGCCATAGACTTTTGGCCAGCTGCCCGTTTGACAAATAATGGTCTGTCATTTTTGTGTTAACAGCTGTGGTCCTTGCATGCTGTCTGGGCAACAACCACACTGTGTGTGCGTTGTGTGTGCTATGTTGTGTGGTGTGTGTGTGTGTGTGTGTGTGTGTGTGTGTGTGTGTGTGTGTGCATGAGCAAACTAGCAGAGATGCAGGCGGGACATAAAACATGTATGCGGGTAGAACATAAGAAATTACATCTTGTGACACTATAACTACATGTGGTCGCGACACACAGTTTGGACAGCTCTGCTCTAGCCCACAGCCTACTCGGCCCCCATAGAAAAAATGCAAGATTACATGGAAAATAGATGGTGCAAGATACAGATGCTATCTCAAGAATGTGCGAAGATAATTACCTGTCTACATTGTTAAGAGCTCAACCCTCCCCCGGTCTCCCAAACCGTATCTTCAAGTTCTAAATCAAAGCCTACAGTTCTTCTTGCACACATAAGAACAGCGCATACGTTAATAGACTCACGTAAACAAATTCCTGCGACCACGCCTCCTTCACCCATTTTTTTTTCTTTCTAAAGGATTACTCATACTTCAACACAGGTTTATAGTTCCCGGCATCTGGCTCCTATCTGTTACAAACAGTTATCGCGGATACATCGCGCTTTTCCCTGGCAATAACAATCGCACGCAGTTCAACCCTGTAACTCCCCACCCTACCTTGAATGTAAATACTGCAGCTTCCTGCCAAGGCTGAAGAAGAGCTGATGTTAAACTTATCGTGACGTAAGTGCTTGCTTTATGTTGAAAAGATAAATTAGAATAAAATGCCCCATTTACCCTAAGGAAGGGGGAAAAAAATCGGAAACTGTTAGGAGAAAGGAGAAGGTTAATAGAAAGAAAGATAGAGAAAGTTAACGAGAGAAAATCCTTGACAGCTTTTTTGGGTGTCATATTATGGAATGATAGCAGCACATTAACTGATATATGCTGTTGGAGATCGCAGGATGTGGAGAAGCGCGGTCGCCAACGCGACGGTGACAGCAGCGTCCTGCACCTGAGAGCCTAGGCATCTGGATAATTAAAAAGAAAACTGGGGCGGATGTGCTGGCGGTTGGTTGACCCCCCACCCTTTCTCTCCACCCGCCCATAACATTTGCAAGGGTGCCAAGTGGCCCCATTACCCATGTACAGATGTCCTCTTTAAAGTATTAGATTATACATTTCATATTATTTCAAATACATGTATTTTCTATTCAGCACAAAATAAATAATTACTGCGAACTTAAACTAGGCCAAAAACCCCAGTTTCCCTTTTACCTTCCAGTGTAGATTAGCAAGAGTCCGTGTCCTCACAGATATCATGCTGCGTGCTAGCAGTGTGTGCCAATGTATACAAGCATTGTTAAATAATTACATCACATATATTCACTGTATGAGGAGGTTGCCTTGGTGTAGCCTGCGGATCGTAAGTCGTGGATTCGGTGACGGAGTCCAACATTGAAAAAAACAAAAAAACCTCGACTCAGCCTTGGGGGGTGGGGGGTGGGGGGGGGGGGGGGGGGTCCCAGGTACAGTCCTGGAAAGTAAAGGCAGTGGGTATGCTACTGACCACATCGCCCACCTAGTATGACTGGGTCATAAACAAAATATAGGTCTAGCCCTAAATACCCAATACTCATGGAGGCGTGGAAAAGTCTTTAACTTTACATAGTATATGATAACGTACGCGGGAGCTTACAATCAAAACCTTAAAATGTCAGAAGTGCGGTAACCTGCCCACAACTGTTCCTATAATGATACTGTGTTCGTCTTCATCGTGATGCCATGTGAATAAGACACATTTCTGTCACACTTTTAAGGATTCATTTGAAGCCTGTTCGTAAGGTGTAGCAAATACACTGTCTACGAATAAGGTGTATATTTAATGACTAGACTTCTTAAAATCAGTTATTTGCGCACCGTAACTAAATTTGTATTAGACAACATCAGAGCCCTCTATGAAAAAAAGTGAAAGTGCAGTAAGAACATCTAGTGGTCTTTCTGAATGGTTCAAAGTCACAACTGGTGTCAGACAAGGATGTGTACTGTCACCATTACTTTTCATAACATACATGGATAAGATCACTGTAGAAGCAAACCCAGACGTGTATGCTATAAACGAATTACTTTTTGCTGATGGTCAAAGCATACTGTATCAAAATGAATATGATCTACAGGAACATCTGACTACTCTCAACAACAGCTGTTTACAACATAATATGAAAATCAGTACAGAAAAAACAGAAGTTATGAAGATCAGCAGAACACACAGGCCACTGAATATAAATGTTGGAAGTGCCAAAATCAAGCAAACCAAAGAGTTCAAATACTTGGGCAGTATATTTACAGAGGATGGAAGAATGGACAGAGAGATAGAAACAAGAATACAGAAAGCAAATGCTGTCACATACCAACTATCACCTCTGCTTAAACATCCAGATATAACCATGAAGACCAAAAGACAATTGATAAACACCATCTTCATTCCAACACTCTGCTACCAGTGCCAGACATGGACAATCAACAAGACCCATGAAAGAAAAATAGAAGCCTGTGAAATGAAATGTCTAAGAAAAGCAGCGAATAAGACCAGACTAGACAGGATAAAGAACATAGACATTAGAAACACTGTCAAAACTACACCATGTTTAGACTGCATAGAACATCAAAGAATGAAATGGTTTGGACATCTAACCAGGATGAAAAATGACCAAATCATCACAAATTTTCAACCAAAGAAGCTCAGGATATAAGGCAAGAGGAAGACCAAGGAAACGGTGGATTGACGGGGTCTCCGAAACCTGCCAAAAGCATGGCCTCAGAACATCAGATGCTGCCCGCCTTGCTTATGACAGGAACTTGCATCTCCCCACAACGCTTAGCGGCATACGTGGAAGGAAAAAGTAAAAGTAAGTAAGTAACTAAATTTGTAAATACATTATTTGTTAAGTGCAGTGTAATCATAAGTTTAGAATATCCCTATGATCTTAGCTGTAATATTGCAGAAAGAGTATTTCAGTTGAGCATCTGTTCCTCAACGGTGGCAGGTATTCGAATATGGTTGTTCAAGACTATATGATGCTATTTACGGATATTCAAGTGCCTTATCCTAA